AGAGGGAGGCAGAAACAAAAATGACTCACAGATGCTAAAGTGGTGTGAATCACACAGAGTGGTCACTCAATCTGCAGCAAACACACACTTAATAGACTCCCTATACACACACACACACACACACACACACACACACACACACACACACACACACACACACACACACACACACACACACACACGCATAAACACATTGAGTATTGAGTATTATTACATACACAGCATTCTTTTCTCCATTTTTAGTTACAAGTAGACATAGGAGAGTGCATTAGAAGAATAGTTCAAACTGTGCATTGTTCTTCAGAATTTCTCAGTTTGTGTTCCACACAAGAAAGAAAGTCGTACAGGTTTGTTTCAAACAACTACAATGAATGTTGACTAAAGCTTCTATCATAAAAATGGCCCCCAGAACTTCTGCATTTTATTCCAAGTGTTCTAGAATCTCAGATGAGAAACGCATCAAAAGGAGAAGATATGTCAGTTTGTGTAAATGTGCACATGTGTTATTCACAAGATCTACCTATTGATTTGCCGTTTTGTGGACTTTTATGTTAAACCTACAGATCGAACTTCCGCATTTTTGTGTAACTGCCCACAGACAGTCAGACCGACAGAGGGGCGGCGCCAAAATCAAAAGTGCATGATGGGTGCTAAAGTTTTTGGCAAAGGGGAACGCCACAGTCCTTTTCTCTGTTGTCTTTTAAATGCATTTCTACTGCGCAGACAGACACGTTTTATTAAAAAGCCCATCTTGCCAGCGGTGAATTACTCCTTTAAATGTGCGGATCACTGAGTCAGTGAGTCTAGATCTGTCTCAAAAGAACGATTTATTCACAAATCAGACATCCCTTCTCTCAAGTCAAGTTCAATATCTTCTGAAGACTTGGGCTGCGCTGAAAGCTTAAAATGCTGCCTTCAGAGGACGCAATCTAGGAGAGCATCAAGGCACGTCTGAATCCAGCGTTAGCTTCCCTTCCTGTCTCCCGAGATATAGCTTCATCTGATCCATTTTTGAAGGTGGCATAAATGTATCCTTCACATTTCCTTTGAAATCCCACAATCCTTTCTGTGACAGTTGAGCAAAAAAAAATAAAGATGCCATCTTTTTGTGTGTTAATGTATGTTTTTGACCAACGTTTTCAACTGCTGTTGTAATTTATAGCGCTAAATTGCTATTGATTAATTAAATATCCGCTTAGTTATCACCTTTGTGCGCAAATTCTGCCGGAAAAATCACTGCCAGATAAAGCATGCAAGGCAAAAAATCAGCAGCCTAAGTTTTCGGACGGTCGCCTTGATTTTGCCAAGTAAGACATGTTCCTGGATCAACATCTATTGTTGATCCTGGAACAACATTCCTGTCCAAAAACATAGTCCTAAACCTATCTCAACCCCTAAACCTAACCCTACTCATAATTTATCCCTATTAAATGATAGGTGGATAAGAATGGTGTAGAAGCCCCTAAACCAGTTTGTAAGCCATTAACTAAAAAACTATTCCTCAAATCTGATTGGTTGATCGGAATGTTGTTCCAGGATTAACAAGGACATGTTATGATGATCCAGGAACATGTTCAACTTGGTGAAATCACGTTAACCGTTTTGTATTGGGACGCAGCCTTGAAATATATAGCACAGAAGTCATATGGATTACTCTTATGATACTTTTATGATGATTTTGTGGTCCTGTTTAGGCTTAAAAGCTCCCATTCTTCAGAATGGCTCTGTTCGTGTCCCACAAGTGAAAGTCATACAAGTTTGGAACGACATGGGGGTAAATAAATGTTTATTTTGGGGGGGGAGGTGGACTATCCCTTTAATATATGCTCACGCACAGGCATTCTCGTCTGAAGCTGGTGATATTTGGTGATTAAGAGAGAGGCTGATCAGCGCTCTTGTAAGCTGGTGCAGCCAGAGCACTCGGACAGAATTATATAATGGGACAAGAATTCTCATATCCACTTTAAAAAAAGACATAATTAGCCATCTGCTCTCAGTGGACAGACGCAGCAACACCAAAACGTCAGAGAGTCTAATCAGGAGAGAGACAATGAGCACATCTTTGAATAGACCGAGCGAAATGAGGATTTGGCATTCTTGAGGTTTTGCTCCCCGATAACAGAGAGGCCAGGGCTTATGTTCAATCTCAACGTCTGGAAAAGCGCAATTTTCTCAATTAAGTTCTGAGACGGCATTGGCTTATTTCTAGACAGATGGATTGGGAAGATTGTGTGCATTGTTATTCTTTCTATACTTTCTATGTTCTATCTTTAACAGCTTCATTATGGTTTAACAGCTGATAAAGCACCAAGAACCAAAAAAGAAGAAGGCTTTGTTCAGACAGCCCAGGCTCGAAATCAGATTTTATTTTAGCATTTGCCAATCAAATCCATTTGTGTCTGAAAAAACACACATGAAATCCAATTTTTACTAAACCTATACATTTGGTTTTAATCCAATGTTTTAGTATTTAAAATACTAAAAGAATTAAATAAAGATGTATTGTTAACATTTATCTGACTTTTTTATTGCAATAGAAGTAGAGGTATTTCAGCTTAGACGACCTTTGAATATTGTCTGAGAACCACTGTTTATTATAATCAGATTTGTTTGGAATGAGTCTCAACGATCAAATCAGACGTCGTTTTTATTGTTATTTGGAACACAATACAAGATTGTACAACTAGTGAATAGTGAATGAGTTGACAGTGAAATGGTTTTGAATACTAACGTTTATGGCATTTTGCTGATGCTGAAATCATTACTATGACAAAGACCAGATGGGAAACTCAGATTTGTACGCAATTTAAACAAATAATCATTGCTAAATAAAGTTGTAAATGGGATCCAAAAAGTTTTGAGATCAAATATCGCAAACCACATTCAGAGGTAGTCCAAAACCTATTTGTAGTGTAAATGCTATAGTCTGTCCTAAATACATTTCAGACAACAGCGAAGCTCCGCCTTCTCACTTGTCAATCCACCTTTGCACTAAAACAAGGTTTTAAACTTTGCTGGCAAAACAGACAATAACACTGAAAACAAGGTTCCAGCATAAATGATATCTACATACAGTGACACGCATCATGTGAAGCACACACATCTGAAGTTCAATTACAGCTGCTTGACTAAAATAACTATGAGCGTTACGCTTGAAATGTCACATTTGTGAAGAGATTAACATTTAAGTGCATTTGCCCCAAGACTAAACTGGCTTTAACAGGTTTAATTTAGTCTAGCTGCTCTCTAACCCGTGCTTTAGCTGGTACCCAAAAACCCTCTAAAATGAGCAACCAACCAGCTAAGACATGCAGTTACACAATGACACCTTGTTTTTCCCCACTAAACATATCTTTCACGTCTTTTGCGGTAACGTTGTAAGCCGCGGTGTTCACAGGGTCTGTGTCCTGCCCTCTGTTCCACAGAGATGGAGTCTTCAGATCAAATTAACAGCCTGAATAAGTCGATAACGCAAACTGGAGTGATAAGACTGATAAAGTCTCTCACTCTTGAGGTCTAATGGTGGAGATAATTAGCTGGCCTTTCATTCCCTTCCCCTCTCTCCTTCACCGTAAGGTCATTTGTTGGGCACCTACACTGGAATGAATTGAAATCACCTTAAAGAACATTGTACATTTTGTGATATATTGTAAAATATAGGAGCTTTTACACTCAGCAGTGTATTTTGAAGTAAAAGGCCTTGCTAATGCATTCCAGTGGTTGGAAAATAAGGCTGGTTGTTGGTCAAACCCCAGAAGTCTGGGCTGTAGATTAGTGCTCGAATAATTTGAAATGGTTGAATCTTAAATTATTACATATTACAATCTAAAAAATACGGTTACCTCCTTGCCTGTTAGTGGTGACACACTGTGCCCTTGATCGAGACACTTAACTCCAAATTACCCCAGGGAGACTGTATAATATTTGCACAAGGACACTTTGTGTGAAAACATCAACTAAATGACTAATTAATAATTAGCACCTCCATTATGTTCAATAATGATGTCTGGAGGAAATGCAGTAACATTCATTAATGCAGCAGCGGTTAAAGACTTCAGCTTGTAGCTGAAAGAGGTGTTCATAACCTGCTCCATGTGCTTGTCTTATTACTATAACTTTGTATTAAGTCACTTAATTATTAAACGATGAATCACTAATTTGCAATTTTCATCTACGATACACTGTAAAAACACACTGTTAAACATTATATGATCAATACATTATGACAACATATGTTTTTACAGTGCTTTAACTCATCAAAATGCGTTTTTTTATGCTAAAGTCAGTTTAATGTAATTTAAGTTGAAATGACTTAAACATTCAAGTTGACGGTACTTAAAAATGTAAGGCAGCAACTTATTTTACAGTGCAATTTTCATTTCATTTAAAATTTGGTTGGCGGATTATGGAATGGCTTGCAACTTGAAATTAGAGTCGCCATAGTGTATTTGTGTTCTTTATAAATAAAGGAAATTAAATATGTTTAAAGTTAAAAAAAATGCTACAGTAAAAAGGCTGTAATTTACCTTACCATATACAAAATATTATATTAAATATTATTTATTTTTTTAAAAAAGACAAAATGTTGATGTATTGCTAAATATTGCAATTTAGGCCTACAATTAAAATTATGATTTTTTTTTACAAAGTAAAAGGTATCACCTTGTAATTTATGTGGAAGAATTCCCAGAATTCCTATCACATCTGTGCTGTCATTGTTGTAATTGCACACAATTGCTGGAGCCATTTTGATACAATATTAACTATTAAACCATTATGTGATATTATTAGTACACTTCACAGTAACAAAAAGATTTTAATAGCGCATAGGCAGATTGGTATTATATAACATTATAGCACTTAATGAAACCTACAGTTACCAAAATCCTTGTAACATTGTCAGTTTTTAGGTCTGCCAACCACAGCTGCCAGTTCTTGTTTTTTAAAAACGCATATTGAACTTATAAAGTTTCCAGTGCGGTTAAAGAAGCGCATCTCACCTTGGAACTTGAAGCCCTCTATTTGGACCCAGAGGCACAGGTCCTCCGTGTCGCAGTCGCATCTCCAGGGGTTCCCGCTGAGTCCCAGAGAGCGCAGCGCGGGCAGCGCGATCAACGAGCTGATGTTGAGCGCCGTCAGGTTGTTGCGGCTCACGTCCAGCACTTGCAGCGCCGCGTTCTCCGCGAACGCGTCCGGCTGGATCTCCGACAGCCCCGGGTTGTCAGTCATCCTCAACATCACCAGGCTGGCCAGCGGGCCAAACGTCCGGTCCTCGATTTGCGCCAGGCTGTTGAAAGACAGATCCAGGTAGGCGAGCTTGCGCAGGTTTCCAAAGGTGGACTCGGAGATCTCCGTCAACGAGTTGTTGCTGCAGTCCAGGTACACCAGGTCCGACAGGTAGTTGAGCTGCAGCGCCGGCAGGTCGCCGATCCGGTTATTGGAGATGATCAGCTGCCGGGTGGCCAGCGGGAGGTCCACGGGGAAGTCGCTTAACTGTTGCCCGGCACACTGGACCACCAGCTGGTCGTCGCACACGCAGCGGTCCGGGCAGCCGGCGGTCAGAGCCGGGGACGGCGCTACATCCATGACGAAGACGAAGAGAAATACCAGCCGCAGTGACTGCGCGCTCGGCTCGGGCAGAACACGCATGATCCCGCCGCCGGCTTCATCGACTGTGCGTTTGCTCGCGCATTCTTCATTGATCTGCGGGATCCGGTTCGGTCGTAACTGCTGGAACGTTTTGGTGTTACGGAGCAGACGCTGTTCTCGGGGTCCTCTCGCAAGTCTCCTCAACAGCGAAGGTGACCGTGCGTGGCGCGTCTTTAGTCCTTCCAGTGGATATCACCACGAGCTAATTCGTTGCGATGTTGTGTTAGGATCCTGGAAACAGTTGGTTTTCCATTTTACGCATATCAATGTAAAACACATGACAATCTTGAACAGACTTTTCTCTCAAGTCCATAAGTTTGATTCCGTGTTGAAACGCTGTTAAGTTGCGAGACGCGCACCATCTGAGTGCTGCTTCTGTACGGCGTGTGTTGCGCTGCTTCTCTCTGCAGCTGTGAGTGAGTGAGCGAGTCAGTATGAGAGAGAGGAAGAGAGGGAGAGTCTGACACAATGTCTGTGTCCCGCTCATTTACACAGGGGAAAAATACCCGCGTATAGACTAGGCCTACCTCTAAAATCCCTTTCGACAAAGAGGCCATGCGCTCAGAGAGCACACAGGTGGTTAGGCTCTTTTTTTAAATAAATAAATAAATAAATAAATAAATATTTATTTAAAACAGTATATTATATAGTAGCCTATGGCAGTCCTTGAATAGTATAGCCTAAGGGAGACGGGGCTTGTTTCAAGATTTTAACAAGCTAATTGTTGGCATTGGTGGTTCTGTAACATTCAATCTATTTCAAATCCTATTTATAACCCTCATATTTATAGCTGTTGGATAAAGAACTGACCACAATAAAACAATTCAGACAACAGTCAGTAATGCATGTCTATATCAGGGTTCCTTAAATCCAGTCATGGAGGGCCATTGCCCAGCAGAGATTAGTTCCAACCCTAATCAAACAATCCTGAACAAGCTAGTCAAAGTCTTCAGAGTTACTAGAAAATTGCAGGTAAGTGAGTTTGATCATGGTTTGAGCTAAACTCTGCAGGACACTGGACCTCCAGGGCTGGATTTGAGGAACCCTGGCCTATATGTTCTAATTAAAGGCTTGCCTATAGATTTAAGTTAACTATTTATTGTCCCACTCACGCTTTTGTGCATAGGAAAAAAGAAGGACACAACATATCCATTTCTAAAGTTTGAAGAAGGTCATCATTCATTTTGTGGTCAAGTAGCAATGTTGTAAAGTCGCCCATTATTGACCTCATATCGATACGGCCAAATCTGTGAAGAACATCGCGATTTCTTTCTTTTATACAACAGTTCAATAAACATAAAGTTCAAATTGTGTAACTAACAAAATGTTGCCAATTACAGATGTCTGTTTTTGCTCGGCCAACGCAAATCCTTCCAAACAAACTCGTAAACTCGCAAAACCGCTGCGGGTCACCGTTTGAACTTGCTGTTTAATAATCATTTGCAACTTAGCAAACTAGCAGCTCCAGTAGTAATGTCATGGAAACTAGCACGTGTACACTTAAGTTAAACAATTTAATAATCAATACAAATTATACATAATTATACATGTATGATATTACGCTGTACCCACATTGGATGGATGGATGATTCAGCTGAGGGCGCACCTTCTGGTCAGAGGCGGGAATCCATTCGGCGCCAACCTCATAGTGCATTATGACTATTCTCTAGCTGTTGAGTGTACACGTTATTCTGGTGCATTGTGGGATTGAATGAGTGCACTCGATATACTGTAATCCCACCTCTACATATGGCTGTCCCCTAAAATAGTGCCCTATTTAAGGGTATAGGGGCAGGGGCGGACTGGCCATCTGTGTGATGGCGATTTAGGACACAGCCTAGGTGTGTTTGACTTGAAGCGGCAAGAGAGTGGTGTGCTTTCGAATCACTCTCGCGGTATTTTGATGTCATACCGGTCTGCCCAGCGCCGCTTCAAGTCGAACACACCTAATAGTGCAATGTTTCGTTTCTAAATGAAACAGCGTTTTTGGACTAATCGTTTAAATGAATGTTTTAATGGTTCACTCAGAAAAAGACAGCCACTTGGCGCCGTCTACTGGCAAAACGATGTAACCTGTAGAAACAGTAAGCAATAGTAGTATAGGCCCAGTGTAGAATAGTCTAAACGGACAAAACAAGTCAAAGAACCAGAAAAAGACAGTTCATTTACATGTTGCTTTGAACACTCAAAGACCCGTTTGTGTGTGTGTGTCTGTCTAGGTTTTTCTCCGTACCTCAGGCATGTGTGTGCAGTGACGTCATAAGACTCCATCCCTGACGTAGCAGAAACAGAGGAGGGACAGAGTGTACAGCCACTGACTTTGACCATCTTGACTGTCTCTGTCTGTGAGGTGAGACAGATGGAGTGTGTGTGGTGTGTGTGTGTGAGAGAGAGAGAGAGAGAGAGAGAGAGAGAGAGAGAGAGAGAGAGAGAGAGAGAGAGAGAGAGAGAGAGAGAGAGAGAGAGAGAGAGAGAGAGAGAGAGATGACGCAGGTTCAAACGAAACATGATATGTGCGACTACAACATGGAGCCTGTTCTATTATTGTTGTGGGGGAATCTTTGTATCCTCCTGTATCAACAAAGAGGGCATAACATTATCGAGTGAAACGATTGTTCATTTGAAGATCTCAGTCTGTTCCTCCCAGGGCTTTGCACCAACAAGCCTACATGTGAAAACCATGATTCATTTGATTGTGTAACTTATATTGTGGTGGAGTAACACTTGCCTTTAGCTTTTCAGGCCTCCCACAGGTAGACTCGCTGAGTAGAGCCATTGTGTATGACTTGGGGCGCATTACTCCATACTGGTTGTGTGGGACTGTGAAAAGTAATAACCAATTAGTTGTACAATGTGATACAGTATTTGTCCAATACTCTGCTTAAGGGTTTAAGCTTTTGCGGGTTCCACAACAATAATTAACCATATGGTTGTCATATAGGCGGTCATCCATGATTTGGAGTGTATTTTCATTTTTACTAAGAAGCACAGCTGGGGAAAGTAATGTGAGAGGTTAGCAAAAGACGTTTCTCAGACGTTTCCACACTTGGCAAGTCATATTAGGAATCAGTTTATTCTTACTGAGACTTGTGCAATTTTATATACCACAATTGTGTCTTCCCATAATTGTGACTGTATATCTCACAGTATGACTTTATCACAATTTAGACTTTATTAAAATCGCAATGTTATATCTCACAATTAAAGCTATTTCTCACAATCTCACAACTGCGACTTGAATTCAAGTAAATTCAACTTTATTTGTTGCAGTTGTGACTTTATCTCATAATGTGACTTTTAGGCTATCACATTTGTGACTTAATTTCTTGTAATTGCAACTTTATATCTTACAAATGAAACTTTAAATCTTACAGTTGGAATTTTATAGCCCTTAATTGTGACTTTATATCTCACAACTGCAATTTTATATCTTACAATTGTGACTATATGTCACAGTGTGACTTTAGATATATAACAATTTTGACTGTATTTCTCACAGATGAATCGTTATATGTCACAATTGCTACTGTTTCTCACAATTGCACTTTTAATTGCAACTTGATTCAGAGTAAATTTGACTTAATTTGATGTAATTGTGAATTTATCTCACAATGTAACTCACATATCTCACAACAACTGCAACATTATAACCATTGCAAATGTATTATCTTACAATTGGGACTATATTTGTCATAAATGTGACATTATATCTTGCAGTATGATTTCATATACATCACAATTTAGACTTTATTTCTCAGAATTACAACTTCTTATATCTCACAATTTCAACTTCATTTCTCACAGTTGGAACTTTATAGCCCAAAATTTGACTTTTAATTGTGACTTTTATTTTTCTCAAGTGTGGCTTTGTGTTATAATTGTGACTTAATATCTCACAATCATTATTGTGACTTTATTTTGTTATCGCAACTTATATCTAACAATACATTTTTTTTTTAAATACAAAGTTCTGTCATGCAACTCTAGATGGCGCTGGCTGTACTTAACTCAATCTGCTTGCAAGCATCATTCTCTATAGGCCACAGCTGATTGGTTGGTTGCTGCTGTATCAGTAGCCAATGACCTCGCTGCTCAACCTTCAAATACTGGTCAGCGTTTGCAGTGCACTTTCAGAAACCCTCCACCTTCCCCAGCTCCACCTGCCTATATCTGCTCATGTATTGTACAGCAGCAGCAATAACCAACAGCAGCAGCGTAGCAGATCTATTCCATCAAGAGCAAACATATCAACATTGTCATATCCATTACCATGCCAAACACACCGAGAGTTGTCATGGAAGAACTTACCAGAGCATTGTCATTCTCACTAGAACAACAACATTGTCACTTAGAACATCATCATATCAATTACAATGCCAAACACACAGAGTTGTCATGGCAGGACTTACTTTTTACTCTGATTGAAAAGCTCATTACTGATCATATACTTGGAATATACCATTTTACCATAGGCATCATGCGCATTGCTTATATTGTCATAAAATGGCCCACAATATTCAATAGACACGCATCTATAATCTTTAAAAGAAACACACCACTGCTAGAGACTCTATCATCTGCAACCAGACTCTCTGAGGTACACTGAGGCGTGAGGAAGCCGTATGTGAGTGCAGGTGCATGCGAGGGAAGAAGAGCCGAGCGGCGTTAGTATATAGGGTGGTTTTTGGTGGATTGCTGGTGCCCTGAAAACTAAGCTGGCATTCTGGGTAAGCGCCAAAATAAACCGAACGATTGAGCTCATTAGTGTAACTTTCATCCCTGGATCGTCTCCAGCGTGTCAGTTTGCAGACGACGGAGTGTCAGGTGAAGTTGAGGAGCGAGACTTTGTTACTATTTAATGGGTGAGTCATCTATCAGAGGATCTGATGCATGGCACAGTCCATGGAGAAACCGTCAGATCTACATGTGCCATCAGAAAAGGTTACTGTATGTTTTATTTAATAGTTATCCTTTAGCACATTCACAGCAGAAGCCATGTTCTTTGCTTCATAACTTTAAATTAGAGTTTGCTTTTGAATAGTTAAAGGGAATTCACGGTTAGGTTTGTGACATTGTTGAGATCTCTAGAGGAGATTTCTTTTAAGGGGATAATCTGAGAAGCAGAAGACGTTTCCTCTCAGTCTCTGTTTAATCTAATTCCAGTTGAGATATTAAAGAGGTCTTAAGGGATTTAAAATCGCTGATATAGTTTGATTTTCCGTGCCACCTGAGAGAGATAAAATCGAACATTTTCTGCTTTTTTTTTATTTATCTTTTCTGGTTTTAGCATAGTCAGCAAAGTATATGTTTGTGTTTGTGAATTTGCACAGGAGATCTTCAGCATAATTATGAAAAATTGCCTGTTTTCAATTAGAATAATGGAGCCATATGCAGGTTACAAATCCAGGTCTGTCACTCGCACGCTAAACTGCTAAATCAAATGTTATT